AGTAATTGGGACTCTTTTGCAATGTTTCATTTCATTTAGGTCAGGGGTGTCCAACCTCAACCACTTTAAGACCTATGGACTTCAACTATGCTGGCTGGGGGATTCTGGGAATTGAAGTCCACAGGTCTTAGTGGCGAGGTTGGACACCCCTGATTTAGAGAATGCTGAGTGTTTAAGTGAAGGCAGATGTCTCTCGGGAAAGGGAAGAGAAACACACCCGGACTCTTTTGTCATCTGAATCCAGAGACCCAGAAGCGGACCCTAGCATCCCTCCCAGCCCACCTGGCCATTTGAGGGATAAAACCCAGATGGTGACTCCTCTTCCAATAATGCCTTTAGTGACTAGACATATTCACAGTCAATATTAAAAACAACCCACATTGCTCAAAAGGGGGAAGCCAGATTCACTTAACAACTGTCTCATTTAGCAACAGAAATTTTGGGCTCAGTTATGGTCATAAATTGAGGACTACCTGTGATTAAGGCAGCCAGTGAGGGATGAGCAAGTAGATATCTGGAGTTGGTGTCTGTTTTCTTTCTCCCTTTTGAAGATTTCTGAGCTGCACCTGTAGCGCTGGAGCCTGGTGAGGAGGAAGAGGTGTGTGTGTGTGTGTGTGTGTGCGTGCGCGCGCGCACGCGTTTGCGCTGGCCTCCCTTCTTCTGGTGCTGCTGCTGCTGCTGATGCATGGCAAGGGAGCATCCCAGCACGGGGGGGGGGGGAGAGAAGCTTTATCTTGGACCCCTCTCCTCTGCGTTCACTGGGGCCAGGGGGTCTGGTGGCCTGCCTTTCAGGGGGCTTCTGGCTCAGGCAGGTTGGTGGGGAGTTCTCCTCCCTGTTCCTCCTGCACCAGGGTGGCCCCCGGGGCCAAAGCTGGCACAGGGCGGACCCCATGGCTGCCTTGAGAGGTTCCCAGACTGAGAGACACCCCCCGTGATTTTGCTTTAGGCTTTCCCTTTTTTTTTGGTTTGGGGGGGCGCGTTTGGGGGAAATGCTTTGCCTTGCCGCCCTGGGCCAGTAGAGAAGGAGGGGCCCATCCCCAGCTGGATTTGGGCCTCAGGCAGGACTAGAATTCAGCTCTCTCTGTTCCCAGCTTCGCGCCTTAACCTCCGAACTGCCTTTCCTGGGTTTTGCTTTAGGAGGGCGACACCAAGGCCGGGCGCTGAGAGTTCAGACGAGCGTCGCTACCCTCCCGGGTGGCCCGTCCGCCGCCTCTCCAGGAAAAGCGGGGCGGCCTGGCTTAGATACGCTCAGCGGCGGCCGTCTGCCCCCCAAGCGCTGCTGCATCGGCGCAAGAAGCTGTGGGAGAAGAGAAATGAGAACCGCAGGGCTCTGCAAAGCCCCCCACCCCGGCCGGCTCCGGCCCCAGCCGCGCACCGCGGCTTCCTTGGTCCAGCCGTAGCCGCCCGCCCACCCTCCGCACGCACAGCGCCGGCTCGCGGGGGCCCGCGGGATCCAGGAAAACAGGTTCTGGGGGAGCTTTCTGCGGGGACCTCTCCTTCCGGGTAAAGCAGCGGCGGGGAGGCCGTCCGAGGATGACGCCGGCCTCCCGGAGCCTGGGGGCGAGCAAGGCAGCCGCCTTTCACTCCCTCAGCTGGAGGCGAGGCCCACGGCTGCTAGCTGGCTAAAGAGAGCGTCCAGGGCCTGCGGCAGTCTATCCGCCAGTGGAGGCGACTCTGCCTCGGCCCCCTTGCCACTCCCGGCGCCCCTGCAATCCCATCCACCAGAAGGGAACCACGCGAGTCCCGGGGTGGGGGACACCACTAGCCCTAATCCTCGCCGGTTCCTGTGAGACCGAAGCGAAGGGAGGCCGGGCGGCTGGTCCCCAGTGGAGGCTCCTGAGCCCCACGAGGTTCGGGGTCACTCCCGACAGAGTAGCCCCGAGGGAGAGGCCCGGGGTGGTGGGGCGGGTCCCAAGCAGGCTAGAAGCGGGGGAGCCCTCCCTAACCACGGCCTTCTGGGGCGCGGAACGAGTCCCTTCGAGGAAGTCGCTAGCCAAAGCCTCGGCACCAGCCGGCCTTAGCCCTCCGTCACCCGTCGTGGGAGAATCGAAGCGCCTCCCCGGAGCTGCTTCGAGAAACGGCCCTTGTCCCCCCCCCAGGTCCCTTCCGCTGGGGACAGTCCGAGGGAGGAAGGCGAGCGCAAGGCCCCCGGCGCCCCTCTCCCCATCGAACGGAACCGGAGCTCTCTTCGTCCCGCCAAAAGGGCAACGGACGTCGGGGGGCGGCGGGTGGAAAGCAGGCGAACACGGACCCCACAACCGATTGTATTCCCTTATTTATTTAGTATTAATTTATTGAAGAGTGGAACTGAGGCGTGTGGGAGGAATTCTCCTCCTGCGGGTCCGAAGAGTGGGTGGTGGGAAGGGCTGGACCGCCGCAGGGGTTCAGTTTGCCTTACGATCGACCGGAGCCGCCTTTGGAGTCGCAGTGAACCTTTCAGTTATCAAGGAATGAGAAAGACGGGGGGGGGGAGCCACAAGTTTGCAGGACTCCCACCAGCCCCGAAAGTGTCTTTTTATAACCGCCTCCCGGAACCCAAAGACTCTTTAGAGGAGCATCTGCGATTCTTCTTTTCGTTCTAAAAAATTTTCAGTGTCTGGTTGGACTTTCACTGACGTCGCTGTAAAGGGACCTCTTAAAACTATTGCAAAAAACCCCCACCTTATTTGTATCGGATCGGCAGAGAAACCTCGGAGAGCCTAAACGTCACACGTTTTAAAAAACGATACACTATATTCGAAAATATTTGAGGGGCGTGAAGGATGGGAATGAAAACTAAACGGCCCAATAAATTACACAGGCCACGAAACTGGAATCGGGATTTATTCGTTACCCAGACAGGAAGCCCGGAATGAGATTAGTTTTCGGTTGAATAAAGTTATTATTATTCCACTTTCGGATTTTAAAATTTATTTATTTTTCTTGGTTGTCAGTGAGCGCCGACGATGCCCCCTTGAAACAGGTTTTCCAGGCTGGACGGAAAGTATCTGGTACCAGAAAATCAGGAGTTTACTTATTTTAAAAAAATGTTCGTGTCTAACGCAGAAGCGTCGCTAAAGGAGAATGAGGCTGCGCGGAGGAGATTCGCGTTTTCTGTCTCACTAACGGCCCTCGTGAAACATTCGGACGTCGGGGGGGGGGATCGGGGGAACCCTAAGCAGCCCTGTGTTTTAAAGCCACACTAAAGAGCACGATCCGGAAACTGGGGTGTCGGAGTGGGGGCAGGGCCTGGAGGGGGTCTTTCGTCCCGAGGGAGTGGGAGGCGGCGACCCTGTCAGCGCGCGGAGAAAGCGAAAGCGAAACCAACTTTCCCTTCCAGCCTCTGCGACACCCCCAGAACGAGTCTGTACCAGAATCGGAAGCCCCGGGAGTGAGCAGCAGCCAGGAACCCCCACCCCCCCCACCCCCCACCCCTTTATCTCCCGAGAAATCACTTCGGAAGTTTTGTTAGCTTCAAAATTATCTTACGCAAAAGTTTTTATTTTCCTTTCTTTCCTTTTTTTTAATATTCTCTTGCAAATGCCTGGATATTTGGGCCCGAAAACAAGGGGGGCTGTTTGGCCCGGAGGAAGACGGGGGGGGGGGTGTGAGCATTTCCTTCAGACACGGGAGCGGCATTGGGCTGGAAGGAGCCCCCCAGCCCCTACCCCCACCACCACCCCCAGATTTCTAGGACGTGGCCAGGAAAGACACCCATTTTTCTGCCCTGACGGAAATTCCCGTTCGTGGCCTGCGCGGACAGAGCGGTAAACTGGCCGGAAGGAGGCCCTTCAAGCGGGACAGAAGCGAGGCCACAGCCCCTTTCACCCCCCCCCCCACGTCTTGCTCTTTGCAACCGTCCAGAGGGGGCACCGGAAGGGCCGGCGGGGCACTGGGGGTGGCCTGTGCCCCCCTGGCCATGCCTGAAGCCCTGCACTACGCCCCGCCTGGCAGATGCTGCCCTGTCCCTGTCGGGCTCCGGTGGCGGCGGAGGGCCCCGGATGCGACGTTGCCAGTATCAGAGGGGTCCCAAAGCGCCTGTCAGATGGCCCGGTGGCTCTGGCAGCCACCAAGGCCCCTTTCTGCACAGCGGCCTGGGCCGCGCTCTCTCCGCCGACACCGACCAGGCCGGAAACGCTGGAATCGCCCGGCCCGACCGCGGAGGAACAGTCCCGAACCAAAGCCATCCTATTTGGGTGGGGGGGTTATGCCTCCCCCTACTCCCCCTCCCCCCGACCTGCCTGCCCTGGGCCCCGGACAGCGCGCAGCCGGACCTCCGAACGACCCAGAGCAGGATTTGCCACCGGACCCGCCGCGCCGCGCCGCGGCCGCCAGGGGTCGCCGCGCAGGCAGGAATTGGGGGTCCCTGGGGGTGGGCGGGGAGCGAATTTCTTGGACAGAGGCCGCGGGACAAGTCAAGACCACCGGGGCCCGAAGGGAAGGAGCTGGCAGAGGAAGCGCGGCCGGAGGGAAAAGCGGACGGGCGCGCAGAGCGCCAGCTTCGCCCCGCTCCGACTGTCCTGTCCGGTCCCGGACACCCACCTGGTCGCCGAGCAGCCGCGCGCCCCGGGCTCCCTGCTGCGCCGTCGCGGCCGGCTCTCCCGCGCGCCGGTCCCCTCGACGGGGCGGTCTGGGCTCCCGGCAGAGCGCGGCGGGTCCTGCTCCGATGGGCGCGGCGCGCTGGCCCCGCCCTGCTCTCGGGGGCCCAGCCTTCCCCTGCCTGCCCTCTTCGCCGGGCGGGGGTCGCGGCGCGGTCTCCTCCCCGGGGCTGCTCCTCCGGGACCCCGCCGGTGGCTCCTCCTCCTCCTCCTCCTCCTGCCGCGCTCTCCCAGCCCCGTCGCCCGCCCGCCCGCTCGCCTGCTAGCTCGGCGCTCGCTGGCTGGCTGGCTCGGAGGCGGAGGAAGCCGCGGCGGCTCCTTTAACACGCCCGAGTTCAGCCCGGGGTCAGGTGGAGTTCGCGGCCCGGCCTTTACCTTTTCCGCCGCGGCGGCGCTCCCGGCACATGGGGACCAGCCGGCGCAGCCTCCACCAAGCGGCCTGAGGCGCTGCGAGGGGCGCAGAGAAGCGGCCGCCGCCGCCGCCGCCGTGGCAGCAGAAGCGGGCCATGCGTGTCCACGCGGACCTCGCCTGCCTGGCCGATCCGACGGGGCTTCCAGGTAAGTCGGGGAAGGGACGGGCGGGCAGACCCCGCAGCCTCCGGACTTGGCGCCTCTCGCCCGCTCCCCAAGCTGGCTCTGCCGGGCAGGAAGCGGCCGGCCAGGCGGTCTCCTCGCGGGCGGATTCCGAAGTTAGCGGGAGGAAAGGAGCCGCTCAGCCCGAAATCCCGGGGGTTCCGGCCCGTCCGCGAGCGGCGGCTCCTTTGGGGGGAAGCGGGGGTTGCAGCGGGACCCGGTCCGGCTGCCCGTCCGGCTTTCTCCCTCGGCCCCGGACGGCCCCGGAGCCCCTTCCCTCGGCGACCGAGGGCCTGCCGCGGCCGGGCTCGATCGTCCTCCAGCCCTGCCTTTGGCGTTCTCGCTCGGCCGAGGGGGCAGCAGCGCCGTCACCCGACTCCTTCGGCCGCGACTGCCCGCACCGCGAAACTCTTGACAGGCGGCGGCGGCGGCGGTGGCGGGGCTGCTCCTGCCGGATTTCGGGACAACTTTGGGCGGCCTTGTCCCGCGGCCGGAGCCCCTTCGCGCAGGCCAGCCAGCCCTACCCGGCGATCCCTCAGCTGGACAGGGATGCCGGCCAGAAGGAGCAAATCGGAGACGCTTCGGTTAGGGCAGCCGGACCAGAGACCCTGGGCGGGAAGGGGGGGGTGCTCTGGCGAAGAACGGCCGCGAAGGACGCCCGCAGCGCAGGAAAGACGGGGGCTGCCCACCGGCGGCTCGGGCCCACAGGGCGGTTCCCGAGGCAGGCCGAGCCGCGGCCCTGCGCGCGCTGAGCCACCCTGTCAGCCGGGCTCCCCTGTTCCTCTCCGCTCAGGCCGGCAGCCCTGAAGGAGTCTCTCTTTGCCCCCCCCCCCCCAATCCGGCCACTGAGGTGAGAAACCGGGGGGCTAACGGCGCCCTGGCTTTCCCTGCCTCCGGAGGGCGACGGACAGAGAAACGGCACCCGGATCCAGCTCACAGCTTCGAGGCCGCGGCGAGCGGCCCGGAAGCAGAAGGGGTCCGCGCCCGTGGATCTGTCCCGTCGGCGCAGGGGGGCGGGGGAGGCGATGCGAGGAAGCTGCCCCGTCGCTGTCCCGCCAGGTGCGAGGCCCCACCCGGAGGAGGGCGTGCGAGGCTGTGATCCGGGACCCACCGGGGCTGAGCCCCCTCCTCCCCCTCCTCCCCCCTCCTCCCTCCGCCGCCTAAGAGGGAAAGCCCCTCTATAAGGGGAGTCGGGGGAACACAAGGCGGAGGAGAGCAGGAGAGGCGCCCGCTTCCCGGGACTCCGCGTGGCGGGCGGGCGGGCGGGCGGGCGAGGGCGGCCAAGCCAGCTAAGGCCCGCTGGGCTGTCTCTCCTCCACCCTGCAGGCGCAGCGATGTTGGAGGCCTCGGAGGCGACGGGCCACTCCCGGCAACTGCTGCTCCAGCTCAACGCGCAGCGCACCAAGGGCTTCCTCTGCGACGTGATCCTGGTGGTGCAGAACGCGCTCTTCCGCGCCCACAAGAACGTGCTGGCGGCCAGCAGCGCCTACCTCAAGGCCCTGGTAGTGCACGACAACCTCATCAACCTGGACCAGGAGATGGTCAGCCCGGCCGTCTTCCGCGCCGTCCTCGACTTTATCTACACCGGTCGCCTGGGCCCCGGGGCCGAGGGCGAGGCTGAGCCGGCTGGCGTGACCAGCGCCGAGCCCGCTTTGGGAGCCATCCTGGCCGCCGCCAGCTACCTGCAGATCCCGGACCTGGTGGCCTTGTGCAAGAGGAAGCTGAAGCGCTCCGGCAAATACTACCAGCTCCGCGGTGGCGGTGGCGGCGGCGGGAGCTATTCGGCCTCCGCGCCCTTCGGAAAGCTGGCCAGGGGCCTCCGCGCCGCCACGCCGGTTATCCAGAGTTGCTTCGGGGCGCCGCCGCGGCCGGTGGAGCCGAGCAATCCGCTCAGCACCCACTGCGGGGAGCTGTACGCCGCCGCTGCCGCCGCCGCCCACCCGCACGGGCTGTGCCCCCCGCTCTGCGGCCTCGACCTCTCCAAGAAAAGCCCGAACGGACCTTCCCCGCAGCTGCCGCCGCCGCCCGAGAGCCGCCTCCGAGCAGCGGTGGAGAGCCGCGAGGGGGTCCTGCAGCCGCGGCCCGAGAGCCCGGCCTTGCTGCCTCCCCACGCGGCCTTCGGGGACCCGGGCTCCACGGCCCCGCTCCAGGCCGCCTTCGCCCACCTGCACCATCGCGGCAGCGGCGGCAGCAGCCCCGGGACGGAGCCGAGCGCTCGCGTCGAGGTAGCGCCCGAATTCCTGTACCGCTGGATGAAGCACGAGCCGCTGGTGGCGGGTTACGTCGAGGAGGAGGACGACGAGGAGGAGGAGGACGAGGGCGACTGTGGCGGTGCTCGGCGGGAGCCGGGCGGCGGCGGCGGCGAGCGAGAACTGGAGCCCCAAGCTCCGTCGCCTTCCGGGCCGGCCCCGCCACCCCCTCGCCACTACTTGGAGAGCGCGGAGCCGGACGGCGAGGGCGAGGACCTGGAGCCCGACAAGAGCACCAGCGAGGAGACGGGCTGCAGCAGCGGCGGCCCTTCCCCCGCGGGGGGCAGCCTGGAGCGCTACCTGGGCTATGAGCCCGAGAGCTTCGGGGGCGACAACCTCTACGTCTGCATCCCCTGCGGGAAGGGCTTCCCGTCCTCCGAGCAGCTGAACGCGCACGTGGAGGCCCACAACGAGGAGGACGAGCTGTACCGCAAAGAGGCGGCCGAAGCGGCTGCGGCGGCGGCGGGGCAGGGCTCGCCCTACCTGGACAAGGCCCCGCCGCTGCCGGCGCCCCCGCCGCCCCCGCCGCCCTCGGGGGGCCCGCCGGGCTGCGACCTGCTGCGCCCCTACCGCTGCGCCTCCTGCGACAAGGCGTACAAGGACCCGGCCACGCTGCGCCAGCACGAGAAGACGCACTGGCTGACGCGGCCCTACCCGTGCTCCATCTGCGGCAAGAAGTTCACGCAGCGCGGCACCATGACCCGCCACATGCGCAGCCACCTGGGCCTGAAGCCCTTCGCCTGCGACGCCTGCGGGATGCGCTTCACCCGCCAGTACCGGCTGACCGAGCACATGCGCATCCACTCCGGCGAGAAGCCCTACGAGTGCCAGGTCTGCGGGGGGAAGTTCGCCCAGCAGCGCAACCTGCTCAGCCACATGAAGATGCACGCCGCCGCCGCCGCAGCCGCCGCCTCCGCCGGCCCCGACGGGAAGCTGAAGCTGGACTTCCCCGAGGGGGTGCTCGCCATGGCGCGGCTGGCGCAGCAGCCCCCGCCGGACAAGGAGCTCTTCCAGCACACCTCGCACTTCCTGGCCGCCGCTGCCGCCGCCGCCGCCGCCGCCGCCGACCCCAAGGCCGCCCTGGAGAGCCTCTACCTCGGGCTCAGCCCCGACAAGACGGCCGAGGTCCTGGCCCAGGGCGCCGTGGTGGCCGCCACCCACCACCTGCACAACGACCACCACGCTCGGACCATAGGCCGCTTCTCGCCCCCCTGACAAGCCCCCGTCCTTCGGGGTGCCGCCAGCGCCAGGGCCACCCCCGGCTGCGCGCCCGGCTCCTCCGCTGCGCTTTCGCGCTCCCCGCGCCCCCCCCAGCCCAGGAGAGCCAATTCGTCCCTACCTCAAGAGGGTCTCCTCCCCCTCAGCCGCCCCCGACCGCGGAGGTCTCGGGCGGCAGAGGAGGGGGCGCCGGGCAGCGTCGCCCCTGCGCCAGACGATACTCGCCAGGGGGTGGGGGGAGCGATCTTGTGGCGGCCGGGAAGAGCCCCCCCGCGTCCCCGGCAAGGCCCTCCGGCCTCAGGAACCCCTTGAGGCTAAGGCAGGGGAGCCCCGCCCGGCCTCCAGCCCCCAGAAGGTGGCGGTGGGGCCGGTGCAGACCCCCGGCATCGGATCCAGCTTGCTGCTGCGCTGGAGCCGCTGCCTTGCAAGGAGGGAGGGGGGTCCAGCTTGCTGCTGCGCTGGAGCCGCTGCCTTGCAAGGAGGGAGGGGGGTCTGGAGCAGCTGGTTGAAAACTGGTGGCCCGGGCTGGGGGGGGGGGAATAGTTGTATTGTATTCTAATGTGAAAAGTTGAGGGCTTCCCTCAGTCCCCAGATTGTGGGTCAAAGGGACCAAAGCGGAGGGGAGCCTCTCTGCCCTGGCCTGAAGGGGCAGCACCTTCTCTGAGCGCCAATGTAGCTCCCCCCCCCCCGTGAAGACCCCGACTTGCTTTCAGGACGGGGCACTCGGTACCCCAATAATATTTGACAAAGACAAAATGCCACCTATTTGTCTGCTTCGTTGAGGACGGGAGAGCTTTATCTGGGGCTGGGCTTCCTGCCCACTCCCTGAAGCCCCAGAGGGTCTCTGCCTTACCTCTGGGGGGCCAGCTACCTGCCGCCCGGCCTCTGCTGCACTTGTGGAGGGGGGCGGTTCTAGGACAGCCCGCCCAGCCGCTCCTCTCCCTCCCCCCTTGACCCCAACCAACCACGGAAAAATGTGAAACTGCTCTCTCTTTGCACACAACACCTTGCCTCCCCCCCCCTTGGGCTGTGTCTTCATCTGAGCCAGCTGCCTCTCCCCCCAGCCCTGAGAGGACCCAGTGGGAATCCCCCCCCGGGGGGGACCCTACCCAAAGGACACTGAGCACCCGAAGGGGCAGCCTCCCGTGCCTGCCTTCCATAGCCCTGGGGAAGGGATGCGTTCTCTCTTGTATCAGAGACCAAGACCAAATAACATTTAAGCATCCCATGAAGCAATAAAGTTTTTTTTTTAACACTGCTGCCACCATCCAGGCCTCTGCTTCCTCGGGTGGGCTTGGGGTGGGGGTGTGCGGGAAAGTCCGAAGTTTGGGGAATGGATAGAGGCTTCTGTTGGGAGAAGCAAGGCCCAGAAACGGGCTGCGGTAAAGCAAGAGGGTCACCAGCGCTACACCCCCCCCGTCCACTTTCCTTTTGCACGTGTGTGTATGTGTGTGTGTGTGTGCCTGACAGAAGTGTAGCCGGATGCAGAGACGGTGCCAGAGGTGGGGGGAGGGGGGCTGGTGCCTTTTCAATGCCAGAAAGTGTTGGGGGGGGGCAAGTGCAGGTGCCTTGCCGTTTGCACAGCTGATGCAGGAAATGGGAAGGGGTCAGCTCTCCCCACGGACCCTCGTGCTCGGCTGCTCAGGAAATTCTCCCCCCCTTTCTTGAGATGCTCAAATCTGGCCAAAGAGCCCCAGCTGCTGCTGCCACCACCACCACCACCACCACCACCACCACCACCGGCCTTGCCCCCCCCCTGCAACTTGAGTGGCTATTCCGTCCACACCCAAAGTGGCGGTCAGGCTCCCCTTTGATGCATGTAGCGTGTTGTTTGCTCCCTGCACACAGCACATGCCCTGAGCGTGATGGGACGCAAAGGCCATGGCGCTGGGCACTTCAGCCTGATCCAACAGCTGGTCAGTTGGGGCTCTGCAGGCCAGCCATCCAGAAACTGGGGCTGGTCAGTTGTGCTTCTTGGTGTTATTTATATGCCCTGCAGCCTCGGACAACTCCTGGCCTCCTGGTGGCGCTTCCCCTTCAGCGCTTGGCTGCAGAGGGGCTCCTGCCCCCCCCCAACGTTCTCCTGGGACGGCCCCTTACCCCTTCTTCCTCCCTTGTGGCCCCCGCCCCAAAGGAAGCAGCGAAGAGCAAGGTTTCTACTAAAACTTTATTAAGAAAAAAAAGGGAACAAAAGTGGGCCCAGGCCCTCCGTCCAAGCCAGTCAGGCAGAGTCAGAAGCTGCAAGGGGTGGAAGAGACCCCCCCCTCCTCGGCAAAGGGGGGGCCGCGCCAAGCCCCGGGAGAGGCACACTCGTAGCCCATGGCGGGCAATTCCCGTCCAAAGGGAAGGCAGGTGGGCTCCTCTGCCCTGCAGCTAACCAGGCCCCTCTCCCCCCCCAGTCCTGGCATGTGGCCCCACGGGGGCACTCCGCCCCCCCCAATTGGCAGGAAGGTCTTCCCATGGGGAGGGATCTGGCTGGGAAAGCTCTCCCGACCCACGCAACCTCCTTGAGCCCCAAGGGGCACAACAGCTGGACCCAGCCCCCCTTTTTCTGCCTCTCCCTTGCTCTCCTCCAGGGAGGTTTTCCTGCCCATCTACCCCCCAACCTTAAGGGTTGTTCCTGGCCTCCCTCCCAAGGCCCACCACGGAGACGGAGCTGGCTTGGAGTGGCAGGGGGGTTCAGTCCATCATAGCACAGAGGAAGGAGCGACTGGAGGGTGGCATGGATGAGAGAGGGGCTAAAAACCTGAGACAGACACTCGGGAAGGGGAGGGGGCGCTGACAGAAATGGGAGGAGGTGCCTCCCCCCCCCCCCCGGCTCCTGATGGCACAAGGAGCAGCAGTGGCAGTTAGAGCCGAGAACTCCTTGGCCAGGGCTGCGGGGGGGTTGCTCCAGCTGCGCAGGGGAGATCGAAGGCCCACTTAGGACCCTCCGACTGGCCTCTCCTCCTGGCCCCCGAGGCCGCAACCCTGCTCACTCTCGCCTCCCTCCACAGTGACCGCCTACCCCGGGCTCCTTCTCCACGCGTGTACGTGCACCCACAGCATGGCCATTCCAGGTGGAGTTGAAGACGCTGCGTTTATTGTGCTGGGTGTTCTCCTGGAAGGAGGGTGGTGGTGGGGTGGCAGTGGTGGCAGCACAACAGCCCTGGCACGGGGCACGGGCACGCCCTGAGGCCGCCCTCCATGTTGGCGACGAGCTGCACGGCTTCCCAGGGAAGGGGTCTGCTCAGCCCTCCTGGGCCCACCGCAGGAAGGTGGGGATGTCCCGCACAGGCACGTTGCGGGTCAAGGCCTTCACCCGCAGGTTCCGGTCGTCGGTCAGCAGCACCACCTCCCGGAGCAGGCGGATGGGGTCGTCTGCAAAAGGCGGGGGAAAGGATTGTGGGTCCCTGGCCGCTCGGCCTGGGCCTCACCCAGCTCCGGGACACTGCCCGCCTGCCCGGCCAGGATCCAGCCCCCCCCCCGCCCAGCGGAACCTTCCAGCGCTTAACAATAACCATCCCCTGGGCCAGCAAGGAGGCGGACTGCTAGAAACCAGAGGCTGTCAGATTGTCAGGCCCCATCCGCCATAATCCCCTGATCGCCCGATTCCGCCCCAGCCAGGCATAAACACTGCGAAAGGCCTTCTCCGTCAAGCTGACAAGTTAAGCTGCTCAGAGTTTGGCCCGACAGGCGTGGGGCTGGGCTGAGCAGCTGCGGCCCCCACTTCCTGCCCCCTGGAAACGGCTCCGGGGCTGCCGGGAGGCGGCAGAAGGGCCCCCCCTGTGGCCTTCCAGGAAAGGGCCGGGCGACGGAGGCATCGGGGCACGGAGGACCAGGCTCCTGACGAGCCCCCCCTCCCCTCCCCCACTTTCTGCCTCCCTCCAAAGGGAGCTCGGCTGCGAAACCTGGCGGGGGCCGCTGGGCCCTCCTGCGGGGCGTCCGAGCTCTCCCCCACCCACCTTTCCTGGCCGGCATGAAGTCCTTCGCTCTGTCGTTGCAGTAGTGGAGGCAGCAGGAGAGAATCAGGTCGTCGTTGTTTCCCTGGGAAGAAGGAGGAAGAGGGAGGGGAGAGGCTGAGCGGCCCGGCAGGTGGAGGAGGAGGAACCTCTTCAGCCTCTGACCGGTGACATTTTGGGGCCAGCCTGCCAGAGGTGACTCCGGGCCTCCAGGCCAAGGCCCCCCCTCCTGGCCGGAAGGCCAGTTAAAGGGGAAGGTCGGCCCAAGTCCCCAGCCACGCCTGGCCCCGTCCGTCTCCCAGGCAGAGCGCGAACCCCGCAGGAGACGGGAAGGCAGGAGGGGGCAGCTGCCCATGGGAGCTGCCAGGAGGGGCTGAAAATCTCACAGGGAGGGGGGAGGGGCAGCAGGAAAGCCCCCCCTGCCCCCCGTTGGGCGAGGAAGACCCAGCCCGGGTGGTTATTGGATTGTCCTGAGCTTGTACTATATTTGGGGCAATTCGGTTCTGGGACAGAGAAGACGCCCCTTGGAAGCTGATCTCAACCTGCCTCTTGGAATGAGCGTGGGGGTCCCACTGAAGCCCCCTCCCCAACGGCAGCAGGGGCCGATTTCGTTTATTGGCCGATGGGATTCCTGGGCCACCCGTTTCACCGGCCCAGCGTCCTTCTTCCCTCCATCCTGGCTGGGCTCTTTGCACGGGCGTATCTGGTTTCTGCTGGGTCTTCAGAGAGGGGGTTCCCGGGACCAGGCCCCCCGTCCTGGGTGACGGCCGAGGAGCAGCAGCAGCAGCCTGGGAAAGCACTGGCTGCCTCCGCCACAGCGTCACGCACAGGGCAGGGGGGGCTTGTACAAGGAAGGGTCCAGCCAGACCCCCAGCCCCTACCCCCTCGGGTATCCCACACCCGCCCCAAAGCTCTGCCCCCGGGCCTTGGGCTCTTCTACACCACGAAGGGTCTCAGTTTGCTCCTGATTGCAAACTGCGCCCCTCTTGTTTCTCTCCGTTCTACCTCCAAGTAAAAGTGCCCCTGAATCTTGGCCGCGACCCCCGGGGAGCCGGCCTTGTCTGCAGACGGGACCGTTATGTTCCCCCACCTTCCCTGTAAAGCATTTGTCATTGCAGGCAATCCCTGACTTATGACAACTGAGCCCAGAATTTCAGTTGCTAAGCAAGGGAGTTGTTAATAGGAACAGCACTTAGCCATACAACTTATATGACGCTTCACAGTGCTTTACAACCCTCCCTAAGCGGTTTACAACAGCCTATTCGCCCCCAACCATCCGGGTCCTCCTTTTACCGACCTTGGAAGGACGGAGGGCTGAGCCGACTTTGAGCCGGTCAGCATCGAACTCCCGGCTGTGGATTGCACAGTCTGCCTGCAATGCCACATTCTCACCACCAGGGCCACCAGGGCTCCCAAGTGAGTCATGCCCCGTTTTACCACCTTTCTTTCCACGGTTGCTAAGTGAGTAACCCGGCTGTTAAGTGAATCCGGCTTCCCCATTGACTTTGCTCATCTGACGGTCGCAGAAGGGGATGACGTGAGCCCGGGAGGCTGCGACCGTCATAAATACAGGCCAGTTGCCAAGCCTCCAAATTTTGATCACATGACTATGAGGATCCTGCGACGGTCGTAAGTGTGAGAAATGGACACAAGTGCCTTTTTTCAGTGCCGTCGTAATTTTGAACGGTCACTAACCGAGTGGTTGTAAATTGAGGACTACCTTTATGCTGAAGAGTTTTGAGCCCCTTCAGCCCAACCCTCCAGCCGAGGCGGGTCTGGGGGCCTCTGCACCTGGAGCAAGGCCCTCCTCTTGGGCCATCAGTGTCCCACCCCGTTCCCAGGCTCCCCGGAGGCTCCAGGTATCCTCCGCGCTGCAGAATCCAACCCAAGGGGGGCATTCGGGGAGGGTCTTCAGCCCCCCCCCCGTGCTGAGCTGGCCGGGTACCTGCTGGCGGGAAATGTCCTCGCTGCGGAAGGAGATGGACTCCAGCTCGTTGCCGCGGCTGGTCAGGGCCCGGATGTAGCTGTCGCGCCTCTCGAAGCAGCCCTCCAGGAAGTCCACGGCCTGGCGGGCCCGATCCTGCAGCAGGCGGGTGTAGCCCCCGGCCCGGCGCTCCGATTCGGGGCCCTTGGCCAGCCCGTCCAGTTCGTTGATGACTGGCAGGAGGAAAGAGAGACGGGGAGGATTCGCACTCCTGCCTCGAGTCCTGCCTGGCCTACGGTGGGGGTGGGGCCAGGCAAAGCCGGCTGTCCTGGGGGGCCTGTCGGGGGGCGGCTACTAAACTTGGCTTCCTGTTGCAGAAGGAAGGAGGAGGGACAAGGCTGGCATTTGGGGAAGGGAGGGGGGCTTTCAGAGGTTATTGGGGGGGGGCTGGGAGCGTGGGACAAAGCAAGGGCCGAAGTGACCCTGCTGAGCCCGCAAGGGAGGCCGTGCCCCCCCCCCCGCCTCGGGATGGCCAATCTGCTGACCCTTCTGGGCAGCCAGCCGGGCCAAAAGCTGAGATCAAGCGGGAACTATGCATCCCTTGGAGGAGGGGGGGGTCTCCCCCTCCCCTCCGGCCCCCGGGGCCAGGGACGCTGCCCCTCCTGGGACGGCTTCCGGGGGGGGGGTGTCTGCTCCCCCAGCTCCCATGTTTCCACCAGGCAGAGTGAAGGCCTGACAGCCGCCTGGGGAAGATCAAACGGCCTGCGGATGACCGGCCGAAGGAACGGGAGGAGCTGCTCCCCCCCCCCCCCGCGCTCTTCATCCCGTGGCTGCGTCCAAGCCAAGCAGCCTTCAAAGGGGCGGCTTGTTTGTGCTCCTGCCCAGCCCGGCTTCTCCTCCGTGGCCACTGCCAAAGGGGTCGGGTTCAGGGGACAGGAGGAGCGAGGGAGTGGGAAGGAGTGGGAAGGAGCCAGGGAAGCTGGCCCCGATGGGCGGGCAACGGCCAGAGCAGGCGTTAACTCTTGGTTGCCCCGGCCTGCCAGGGCAGAGCCATGAGCCGGCCCCCCAGTGTGGGGCACTGCTGATCCTCCCCCTGCAAGGGGGGCACCTGTGGCTGCCACAAAAGGAACCCTAGCCAGCCTGGAGGAGGAGCGGGCCTGGGAGCCCCCTCCCCACGCCAGGCCTCCCCCCCCTCCGGACAGGGAGCTTCCTGCAGCCCGCGAGGATGGCCGGAGCCCAGGTCCTTCTGCTCTTCCGAGGAGGGAGTGGATCAGGAGGGTGCCCAATGTCACCCCCCCCTCCCCGCAGACCACCCAGCAGCAGGCCGCTATCTGCTGCCCGGCTGAGTGTTTACCCCTGGCAGGAGCCAGCTCTGCTGAGCCGCAGCTTTATAAGGAGAGGAGGGAGAGCCAAACTGGCGGCTGGACTGGGGGGGGGGAGTGCCCCGCCTGGCTCAGGCCTTCTCCGCCGGACTGTCCCTGCAGAGGGATCCCTCCCAGCCACGCCGGGCCTGGGCTGACTAAGCAGGAAGGGGCCCAAGTCAGCTGTGCCCCACGCTGCCGCTGCAGTGGCCCCGGAGCCCCAGGACGCCCGGCGCAGGCGAGGCGAGTTCCACAGGCTCCTTTTGCACCCCTATTTTCTTTCCTCGGGGTCAGACGCAGGAAGAGACGTGACGACGCTGCAGCCGAGGGCGCCCAGGGCAACGGTGTGGCTGCCCTGGGCGGCTGGGGGAAGCCCACCTCTGCTGGGGGGGGGAAATCTAGGGAGGGCTGGACTGAGTTGGCGCAGCTGGAGGGCAGCACCAGGTGGAAGATTTGGTGAAGGGGCTGCAACGTCTTTGAAAGAACCCCGTTTATCCGGCAGGCCTTCGGGGTGCGCCCCGTGTCCAGAGGACTGTGGGAAAAACAGGGCATCTACCCCTCCCCAACTCACCAATCAGGGGTACCACTAGGATGAACTGCCTGCACTCCAGCAGCTGGGCCAGGCTGCCCAGGTGGTCGATGAAGCCGTTGGTGTCCGGGACGAGGAAGACGGGGCGGATCTCCAGCTCCATCTGCCTCAGCTGGGCCTGGTCCTTCAGCACCGCCTGCAAGAGCCCCGGGTCGGGGTGGGGGGGTGAGGGAGGGCAGGTTAGCCACGCTGGTCTGCCCAGGACTGGGCGAGGCAGGGAGGGGCCGACGACACACGGAGGCTGGAGCAGCAGCAACATCCCCCTTATCCAGACTGGGCAAGAACTGGCTGGGCACCATGGGAGCCGTAGTGCTCCAGAATTGGAGGGGAATACGGACCTGCCCCGCCCTTCCTAAAACCACGGGAGGTTTTTCAAGACAAGATCAGGGAATAATTTGTCCGGGATGATAGAGAGCAGGGTTGCTCAACTGTGGGAACTTTTAAGACTCGTGGACTTCAACTCCCAGAATTCCCCAGCCAGGGCAGGGTAAAGAGGCCAAGGTCAGACAGCCTTGATATAAGATCTCTTGGGCTGGACTAGAAGACCTTTAAGGTCCCTTCCAGCCTTAGGATTCTATGGCTGTGTTTGGAAGGGGCTCCTGCTTGATGTGCTCGCTCTTACTCCCGTGAAGCCCCCCCAAGACCCTCCCTCTGTCTTGGGCTGGGAATCCCCTGGCAGGGGAGATCAGGGTTGGTGCCCCCATCGGCCCCCCTCCCCATCACAGTGAACAAGGGAGACGGACCGCCAGCCGCTTCTTCCGCAGGGCAGGGCGGCTCCCTCAGTGTTTACAGCCCCAAATGACCACTGGAGGGGCAGCCAGAGACCCCTGGGGGAATCCCCTGCGCCCCCCCCTTCCCGAAACACCCTGCCTGCCCGTGTCCCTGTGGGCCAGGCCTCGCCACCAACGGCCCAGGATGCTCCCACCGGGATTCTGGCCTTCTGCGTCATTCTCGCCTATTAAACCATTACCAGATGGCCTATTAAACGATTATTAAACCGGAGGTTTAATTAAATGGCTTAGTAAACCATATAACGCACTGTTTCTCAACCTTGACCATTTTAAGGCACGTGGACTTCAACTCCCAGAATTCCACAGCCAGCATTGCTGGCTGTGGAATTCTGGGAGTTGAAGTCCACGTGCCTTAAAATGGTCAAGATTGAGAAACACCGATATAACACAATGCATATCACAAAATAACAGACCTGGAAGGGACCTTGGAGGTCTTCTAGTCCAACCCCCGCTTGGTTCCCTACGCCCTCTCCGTCTGGTAAACTCGCAAGATTCTCTCACCATGCACATGGATGCATAACGTGAACTGGACTGTTGTTACTCTGTGCCATATATGTAGGTATATGCATACCCGTGTTTTATTTATTTATTTTTGCCCTATTTATGTAGTGTATATTGGAGGTGAGAGCTCTCTTGCAACGAAATTTCATTCGAATGTATGCCGATTAGGGCACATTCAAGGTGACAATAAAGTTATTAGTCTATTCTAGATGGCCTATAAAACCATTAAACCAGATGGCGTCTTAAACCATGATTAAGCCAGAGGTCTCCTGGCTAGACAGCCGTTCCTCTGAGCTAGCCTGAGGAGCGGGCTAGATGAAGACCCTTCCAAGCCAGTGTGCCACGGCGGCAACTGGGCCCCCGTGCCCAACCCAGGGCCAGCTGGCTGCCCTGCCCTCGTGCCCTTCCGAGGCTCTTGGCCCGACTGCCGGGCTCCAGGCGCTGTGCGGCTCTGTGCCGGCCGTCACGTCCCCTCGGCTCCCCTGGGCTGGCCAAAGAGAGGACGACAGGATGCGAGCAGCCGTGGTGGGCCGGTGCCAAGTCTCCCTCCCCCGCCGCGAGGAAGCCGGCCTCGGGAGGGGGCCGTTTGCCTTGGCAGCGGCCGGCCAGGGCACAAGGACGGGACCAGCCCCCCCCCGCCAAGGGGGCAGCAGCCGCAGGGCCTTGCGGATCCCCGCGAGCAGGTGGGGCCCGGCTGACTCTTTCCCCTTCCCCTGGGGGGCCGGGAGGAGGCCGGCGGGCAGCCGCCCGGGACGTGTCCGCTGCCCAGTAGGACTCGTCTGCCCCAGCGTGGTGGAGCCGCTGGGTGGGGGTGCCCTTCCGCTGCTGGCAGGTGCACGGCCGTGTGCGGGCGCTCAGCCATTGTTTCCCAGCGCGAAAGGAGGGCCGGACGGGGCTAAATTTAGCCACAGGCAGCCTCTCCCAGACCGGCGGCTGCTGCTGCTGCTGCTGGAGCTCCCTAAGGAGGGGCTGCCCGGCTGCTGTGCCCAGAAAAGAATGGGGCTGCCGAGGGAGAGGGGGGGGGAGGCCTACGCTGTGCTTCAGGTGGGAGTTTTGCTCCGGAAGTGCTGCATCTCCACCTCTGCAGCCGGCTCCTCCACCATTCCCAGTGCTGTGGCCTAGGGGCTGGAGGGTCTCTTCCCCCGACCTTGGCAGCCTGAACCCCTAAGCCCCACTGACTGCCCTCCCCTGGGTGGCCAAAGACCCCCCCCTTTCCTGCAGACTGGATGCCCGGCCACCTCGGGGCAGAACAGCTTCCTTTCCTGCCGGCCTCAACAGATGTCCAGGCCGAGAAGGACCTCCGGCCTTGGTGCAAATCCCAGCGAAGCCCCTCTGGGGACAGAAAGGCTGAGCTGAGCTGGCAAGGGTGGGGGTGCCTGTGCACCACTGCCTCCCCAGGCCCGGCAATCTCCCTGGCCCTTGCAGGACTGGGGTCACTGCTGATATGAGATCGGGGAAGGGGCACGACCCCCCTGTCTTTGTCTTTTCCCCCTTCCCCCCTGCCCCAGGGCCCAGGCGCTGTCCTGGCGGGTGGGGGGGCTCTCGCTGGGCGGCTGCAGCAGGCAGCGGTGGGCCTGGAGAGCTGAGGGAGGGGTGGGGGTTCTGGGCCAGCAGCCAACAGCCGGCGGGTACACATGTGCACGCTCTCCCAGTCGGCCCTTTGGCGGTCCTGTTTTACAACTGCTTCGGCACAGACTCCAGAGTTCACGCATATGGCTAGACAGATGTGTTTGGCTGGGGTTCAAGGCTGGGAAAGGAAGAGTTATGGAGGCAGGAGGGCCCTGGGCACAGCGGAGGGGGAGGGCAGGAGGGAGGGGTTCTCCCTCGGCTGTCGGGAATCGGTGAGCCGGCAGGGCCGAGGGGCCAGCTGGGAGCCCACGGATGGGACATGACGCTCGGCTCCAGCCCAGGGAGGCTCCGGAGGACACGTCCCTCACGATGTCCCAGGCTGGGCTGGAGAGTCCGGCAGGCGGGCCGGTCTTTGCGCGGTGCACGCTGGGCACCCGAGGGGCATGGGTGGGGGGGCAGCTGCTCAGGGCGACCCCTGCAGGCACGACTGGGGCCCCAGCATCACAGGGTCCCTGGACATGGCTGCAAGACCGCCTTCCCACACATGGCACTGGGGGGGGGCTGCCCTCTCTTCCTAAGGGGGTGAGAAAGGCTGGGCTCCCCCCCGAAGAGCGCCCCCTGGAGGAGCTGCACTGACCTGGATCTTGTCCTGCCGGCGCTGCTGCTCGGCCACCTTCCTGGCCAGCGCCTGCTTCTTGGCTCGCAGCTCCCTGATGTCCAGCTCGTCACCGCTGCCCTCGGCCTTGGCCTCCGAGTCGTCCGGCAAGGCCTCCATCTGGATGTCGTCCTCCTTCCAGCAGGCAGGGGGTGGGTGGGGGGCGGGGGGGAGCGAAAATGAAGGAAGAGCGCCATGGCAACCATCACAACAGGAGAAACTGAAGGGCCCGCCCAGCCTCTCCGACCAGCGGATGGGAACCGGCTGCAGGTCCTGCAACTGCCAGGACCCTCTGGGGGTGTTCGGTCGGGGGACCCCGGCCCTTAAACGGAGGGGAGGGGCCGCCTGCCTCTGTGCTCCCAGCTCCCCCGCAGATCACATGGGGCAGGGAGCCCAGAGCCCCCCACGAGCGTCTCATGGGTGTGCGAAGAAGGCTGGAGATGGGGGGGATGGGGACCCCAGGGCCCCTGCACAATCCCCCCCTCTCCCCCAGAAGGCCGGCCGGCCTTGCAGCTGGCTGGCAGGGACAGGGAGGAGCAGAGGCTTGTGCGTGTGCACACACACACACACACACACACACACACACTCACTCACTCGCGGCCTGCCGAGAACCCCGGGCTACAGGAACAGGCCGGGGCAGGAAAACAAGAGGAGAAATTCCTTAATCACATCAGGATGTGAGAGAGGCGGGGGGAGGGGGGCTGGTGGTGGGGGGGCGGGGGGCGAGCCAAGCACCCCGTCCCCCTTCCTGTACGTGTGCTGGAGGTGGCTGTGCAGCCCTGCTTCCCGGCTCCCCCCTAAACTCGATCCTGAGCCTGAACCCTAACCCCCCCTCCCTCCCCCCTTCCCATCCCCTTCCTGCTGGGCCCGAGCTGCACATTATTAAAGCTCTGCCCCCCTCCCGAACTCTATTTGCAGAGCGCATCTGGAACTCATCGCAGTTACCACGGGGAGCGTTTGGGTGGGACTGGCAGGAAAGGGCACCGGCACTCGGGGGACGCCACGCAGAGCACCCCGCTACAAAGGGGGGGGGGAGAGTGTGTGTGCAGGCCGGGCCGCCCCCCCCCCCCGCCCCTGCTGCGCAGCCCCCTTCCTGCCCACTACCTGATCCTCCAGTTGTTTTCCCTGCTGGCTGGCGTCTGCTTCCTTTCCCAGGGCGTCTGGGCTGGGGGCCACCGACACGTACTTTCCACCCTTGAATGCCAGCAAGGGCTCCTCCTGGCCACAGAGCGCTTCCAGGAAATACTTCAGCACCGTCACCCGCTTGCAGTCGGCCGCAATGACCTACGGGGGGGGGGGAGGGTGGGGGAGGGGGAGGAAGGACAGGAGAAGGAGGAGGAGGAGGAGGTAGAAGAGAAAGGAAAGGAAGAAGTGGAGAGGAGAAAAGAAGAAAGGAAGGGAAGAAGGAAGGAAGGAAGGGAGACAAGGAGGAAGGACAAGAGAAAAGAAAAGGAAGAAGATAGAAGTAAGGAAAGAAGAGAAGAAGGAAAGGAAGGAAAGAAGGGAAAAAGAAAGGAAGGAAGGAGCAAAGACAAGAAGAAATGAAAGGAAGAAAGGGAAGGAAGGAAGGAAGGAGACGAGAAGACAGAAGATACGGAAGGAAAGAGAGGAGAGACATTGACCCCCGTTAGAGCACCTCAGGGCTGCGGTGGAGACCCCCACTCAACAGACCCTCTGCCCTTCTCCCTCCATGCGACCACCACACTCCTCAGGAAGCCTCCTCCTCCTTAAAACTGCAGATGCCCCCCCCCAGGATAGAGAGAGGGAGGCCAGTCCCCCCTTCCCAGCGCCCACCTTCAAGGCTGGAGCCCTGGGACTGGGAAAGAGCCCCCGCCCAGCTCAGAGACCCCCTTTCTGGCAATGCTTGGTTGACAATGCAGAGACCCCCAAGGGACCCCCGTCACAATAATCCTTGCCCTGCAGTGGGGGCCTGTCTATGGGAGGGGGCACTAGTGGTCCAGCCTATTCTCCCCCCAAGAACAGGACCCTGCTGGGGACGGCGAGCCCCCCCCATCCCCAAGAGGATGGCTGGCACAGGGGTGGGGCTGGGGGGCTGGGTTGCCCCCCCAGCTCCTTTCCTCTCCAGGGCCTCCTGATTCTGGAGGGCACCAAGGACCGTGGGAGCCCCTGAAAGCGGAGCAATGGGGCGCCCCGACCCCTTTTTCTGCATTGCCGCGAAAGCCCCCCTTCTGAGAAAAGCTCCCCCCCCTTTCCCCAGCTCAGGCCTTCCACCCCTCACCCCCCTTCCCCAGGTCTCAGCGCCCTCTTCTCCAGCCCCCCCAAATTCCTTCAAAAGGGACAAGTGCCTTACAATACAGGAGGTCCTCGACTTATGACCACGGCAGAGCCCCAATTTTCTGTCACTAAGAGAGACACGGGTTGAGTGAGCTTTGCCTCAGTTTATGTCCTTTCCTGCCACCGTTGTAAAGTGACTCATTGCAGTCCTTAAGTTAGTTACACGGCTGTTAAGTAAATCCGGCTTCTCTATTGACTCTACCCGTCAAAAGGGACCCCCTGGACACTGCGTCCGCCGTAAGTATGAGTCAGCTGCCAGGCGTCTGAATTCTGATCGCGTGACGGCGGGGATGCTGCAACAGTCCAGAGTGTACAGCCCCAAGTCACATTTTTCAGTGCTGTTGAACAACTGAACGGTCACTAAACAAGTGGTCGTAAAGTCGAGGACTGCCTGTATTCTAAGGCTGCCTCCTTCACAGCCCCACCCAGAGTTTCCTGGTCCCCACCATCTCAGCTGGTACTGTCTGGGAGACAGAGGGGGGTCCCCGCTCGTTGCTGATTGCCCCCGTCTCTCCCCCCCACCTGTTTTGGGGAGACCCCATCCATGAGTTTCTCCCGATGCTGCTGACCCTCCCCGGTCCACTCTGCCCCCCTCTGGGCGCTGGGCTCAGGGGGGGCGGACCCCCTCCCAGAGAGCAGAAGGGGCTCCCACCACTCACGTAGCCGGTCCCCCATAGCCCAGGCTGGGACCCTCCAGGCCAAGGTGCCGGAGCGCAGCCTGCTGGTCAGCGGGAGCCAAGGGGCAGGCCCAGAGCCCCTGCACACGCCTGGCCTGCCTCCCGGGGGGCTGCCCCTCCCTCACAGTGGCCAGGGGTGGCCGAGGGTCTGGTCTGGGGAGTGGCCAGTGAAGGCCTCGGCTGAGCTCTCCCCTGGGCAGCTTCCTCCCTGCCTGCTGGCTGGCTGGCCACGTGTGGCACGGGGGGGGGCTGACCCCAGTCACCTTGGTGGCCCCGTCCCTCCTGCCCCCTCCTGCAAGGGAGGCTCCTAGCTCCCCCCCAGGCCATTGTTTGTGTTTGTGACTTGTGCACACAAACATCATCCCCCCCCCCCGGGGCCGGCCTGCCTCGCAAGGCTGGGCGCAGGGGAGCTATTTTTACGCCGCACGTTTCCTGTGGCCTATTTGTGGTCGTATCTCGTACTTCAATGCCGCGGCTTTCAAGGCTGCATTCAAAATAGCGCCAGCAACTCTCATAAAGCAAGACAATCAGGTTCCGGCGTGTGTGTGTGTGTGTGTGTGTTGTGTGTGTGCTTAGGATGAAACCAGCTCAAGCCCTTGCTCAGATTAAAAGCGAAGGGTCCCACTGATCTTGTGAGGCAGCCGCCCAGGCCGGACCACCTGTGGGCATTTGAGGGGAGTGGGCGAGCAGGCCAGGGGGGCCTGGGGGACCAAAGAGGGGTCCGGGCTGCAAAGCATCTCTGGGGGGGGGGACACTTGGACCCTCTGTCTGCGAGGAGTCTGCAGCCTCTAGCCCAACTGAACCGCGCCCCCTCCCTCCCCCAGCTCTCTGCCTTTTTCCCACCGGCCCACCTCCCATTTCCAGGCTGGCCCCCCAACTGAAAGGCCGGGCACCGTCCCTTGGAGAGGAGCAGCTGGTCCTCTGGAGGGGCTGATCTTGGGGGGCCCTGCCCAGACTGGCTTCATGGAAACAGCCGAGTCCTGCACGGGGCCCCGGCTCACAAACTTTGGGGGAGGCGGAAGCAAAGGGTGTCCAAGGAGGGGTCTCCAAAGAACAGGTCAACTCAGGGGGTCTCTGAGCGTGGCTGTTTCCCTTCAGATGTTTTACTACACAACTAACAAACACAGAGTCGGAAGGGACCTGGAAGGTCTTCTAGTCCAGAGGTCGCCAACCTTTCTCGGACTGGAGGGAAAGGGAGGGGGAAGCATTTTACGCGTGCACGTATGCACACACACAAAACACACACACACACACACACACACACGGGGCTGTGAGCACACACAACACAAACAGGGCAATGCTTGCACCTGCATGACAGTCATTAGCACCCCATTTTTACGCCATGTAGCACCCCGTTTTAGCACATCAGAGCCATTTTTGCGCCGCGTAGTGCCCCGTTTGCATAGCAGTGGCGGCGCTAGCATGAGTGGGGGTGAGTGCGAGCACAGATGTGCGCACACTGGCCAGCCTGTTCTGTGGCCCGGTGGCCAGTAGTGAGCCGTGGAACCGCAGGCTGGGGACCCCTGTTCTAGTCCAACCCCCTGCTCAGGCAAGAGACCCTAGACCAGGGGTGGGGAACCTGGGCTCTTTTATGACTGGTGGACTTCAACTCCCAGAATCCCTGAGCCAGCATGTTGAGGGAAAAGGGAGAGGGTTCCAAGCTGAGTCACGCTAGCTCAGGAATTCTGGGAGTTGAAGTCCACCAGTCATAAAAGAGCCGAGGTTCCTCACCCCTGCCCTATACCATCCCAGACAAGTGACTGTCCAGTCTCTTCTTGAAAACCTCCAGTGATGGACTACCCACCACTTCTGGTGGCAAGCCGTTCCACTGGTTAATTGTCCTCACTCTCAGGAAATTCCTCCTTAATTCCAGGTTGCTCCTCTCCTGGATTACTTTCCATCCGTTGCTTCTTGTCCTGCCTTCTGGTGCTTCCCAGAATAGGTGGAACCCCCCCCCTCTTCTTTGGGGCAGCCCCTGAGATACTGGAAGGCTTCTGGGGAACGTCCTCAGAGACAGAAGGGGTTCATGGAGGACTGTGGAAACTCACAGAGCACTGAGGATCCCTCAGTTCAACCCTGAGCTAAAAATATTCTCCTTTATTGGCACGTCAACTGCCGTGGCCCTTTTTGCCACGACTGGCATCAGAAAGGGGGATGACCAAGAGGAAAACCTAAGCTGGACGCATTTGGCCCACCAGATGCCCACGTAACCACGGCTGCTTTAGGTTGGCACTGCCCTCCTTCATCGTGGAACCCAGGCCTGACTGCCACTAAGCACCCGACAGAGGAGCACCCACTGAAGCAGAAGTCGCCTCTTCATGTCTCAGCCAGTTCCGATGACAAACAAGCCAAAAAGATGCTGGCGGCTCTTATAACAGCCCACCTGTCCTCCCCCTCCCCACTTCCTGTGCACCCTGCAAGCACTGAAGATTCCTGGGAACTTCGGAGGCTGCTTCTAAACTGGGGCTGTCCATGCACGGTCGGCCTCTGCCCTGGGCTGCCCCCCCCCCGAGCAGGAGGGGCCGGGCTTTGGCCAGGGGACGTCCTTCGGCCACGGGCGAGGCTCAGCCCTCCCCAGAGAGGGACGCTGATGGTGCCCAAAGGGTGCCAGGCCGCGCTCTCCCCAGGAAGGCCAAGGGGCCCTCCGCCCACTAAGGTGTGAAGGGGCCTCTTCCTGCCCCGACAGAACCGACGACCCCCTCTGCCCCCAGGTGGAGCTCCCAGCCTGGGCAGAGCGAGGGGGCTGAAGGCTCCCGGGAGCCTGAGGGAGCAGCAGCCTCTCTCACTTCCTGCCAAGAGGCTCCAGCAGCAGCTCCCTCCTCAGCAGGGCTTTTCCTAATCTGGGCATGGAGGCACCTCCTTCCCTCCCCCCCCCAGGGCAGCCCGGTTAGTGTCTGCCCCCCCCAGGCTGGTCTCTTCCAGCAAGGTGAAGGAGGAGGAAGAGGAGGAGGAGAAGAGAAAGGAGGAAGAGGAGGAGGAAAAGGAAGAGGAGGAAGCAGAGGAGAAGAGAAAGGAGGAAGAGGAGGAGAAAGAAGCGGAGAAAAAGAAAAAGAGGAAGTGAAGGAAGAGCAGAAGGAAGAAGAGAAAGGAGGAAGAGGAGGAGGAAGCGAAGGAGGAGAAAGAAGCAGAGGAGGAGAAGAGAAAGCAGGAAGAGGGGAGGAAGTGAAGGAGAAGAAGGAGGAGGGAAAGGAGGAAGAGGAGAGGAAGAGAAAGGAGCAGAGGGCCCAAGAGGGCCCCGATGCAGCCCTCGCAGCCACCCTTCCTCTCCTGCAGGCCCAGAGCCCGCCCTGCCCGAGGCCCCCACGACCGGGG